AACCTTTTTCCTTTGACGGATTACTGTTTTAATTTATATATTGATATATTAACCTTTTCTTTGTCATGACATATAATTCTGGACGACAACAGCATTATAATAGACATTTTGAAGACTACAGTATTCCTAAATCATCAACAAGAGATCGTCAAGCCAGACCACTTTATCGCATAGCGCTCTTTGATGGCTTGTTAAATAACAACCAAGTGGAACGCACAAATGCATTAGATAATATAACGAGATTAGTAAATAATTGGGCAAAAGAATGCTATCCTGTCGAAAGATCAACAGCAGGAACTGTAGTGTCAGTAACAGCAACAGGTGGCAAGAGAAACGTGTCTAATGCATCCTCTCCTTTGTCTGAAAATAGTAATAATTTGTCGGTGACTCCCATGTCATCACGAAAATCTTCGGATTCTGATGATATTAATCCTGCATCTTCCCTTTTAAACTCTCCTAATTCTCCGTTACTCACTGATGGATCGGTGTCTTCTTATGCTGCTTCACCGGTCGTGGATAACGGATGCGGGGATATGTCTACTATCCCTAGTATTCTTAATGTTACAAATGCTAGTGATGGTGATAAAAGCGTTAATATCAACCAAGTTAATCTATTTCAACATGAAGAGGATGCTTCAGTACCACAACGGAACGGGATTCCGGGTGATCAATTTATTTATGATGGTTTCAGACCATACGGTAGTTATTCTCAACACTTCTCTTCTCATCAACAACAACGTAGAGATTCCGCTGATGATAACGATGATGCAGAGATTTCTGAGGAAGAAGCAAAGGAATCTTTAAGATTACATCTTTTGACAATGTTGCGAATGTCTATTGATTGCCCTTTCCCCGATGTTAGACTTTCTTTCGAAAAGTGTTTAGAAGACCTTAGGGTAAGATATTATCATCGTATTTTTTTTAATATTATCCTTTTTAATTCATTATATTTTATTTTTGTTTTTCAAATCGTTGAAAATCATTGGAACTTTGTCTATATAATATGTAACTGCGCCACGATTCATTATTGTTTTTCATTTATACTTCAAAATTTCATGAAATTTTCGTATTATAATTTTATAAACTACATATACATATATACATTTATATATATATATATGTAATGTATATAGCATGAGAGTAATTACAATTACTATTATATGGTAATATAATAATAATAAAGAGAGGTTGGATTTCTTTAAACTTAATAAAAGTAAGTTACCAAAGAAATTTTATTTCGCGTTTATTTTTTGATTTAAATTGAATTTGGTTTGTTTATTTTTTAATGTCAACTAGTTATTTACCTTTTTATCTTAATACTTTAAAATATATATATATACATATATATATATATTATAAAAGAACGAAATGAACTTTGTGCACAATACACAAATTTTGCACAATAAGCTTACACTATTGTTTTTATTCAGTGTAACTGCTTCGAAAAATGAAGCGGCCTTCATATTCTTTCGATTATATAAAGTGAGATCATTAAAAAAAAAATTAAGCTACAAAAACTAATAATGGAAATGGCTCCATGGAACATTTCGAATTTATATTTTCTTCATTGAATTCTAAATCTTGCTATAAACGAAAATTAAATATAATTGTACGCGTAATTTTTTTTATCAAAATAATAATAATAGTAATAATAAATTATTATTATTATTATTATTATTATTGGTTGTCTCGCGTTAATTTTCTTTAGAAAAAAAAGAATTAAAAAAAGATATCAAATTCTTTACTTCAAAATGATCGTAATTTCTTCACAACTCAATCTCAATTTTCAAAAACAAATTACTCATGATGTAATTCTTGTCCTTTTCCTTTTTCTTTTAATAGATGGCAGGTGTTCCGGTGCCGGTACCAATATACCCAGCTCCATCGTTCTATATTGCACCAGAGGATATACTGACTCTTGAATGGCCACCAGAAAACACGAGCAATAATACTGGCATAACTCCTTCTTCATCTTGCTCATCCCCTTCATCCACATCATTTTCTGAAACATCACAATTTCCACAACCTATAACATCATCTACACCTTTATGGCCTTTACCGAAGGGTAGACAACCTGATCCTTTGGTTAAAAATTTGTTGAGTGATACTTTTGTTAATTTAGGAAGATTAAGTCATTATTATCGAGTTTTGGCTTATTTTCCTGGTTTTATGGAAAAATATCAAGCTTCCTATAATATCATCGTTAAAGGTCCTATTGGTCCCGTACCTATTAGTTGGAGGTTTTATATTGGAATTATGGTAAGTTTTCTTATCGAACTATGGGTATCCGATCGAGAATTTCAAATATGCTGGTCATTTCATATCTAAAATTAAAAATTTGACGCGCTTTTCAGGCTGCATCACAACATAAATGTCAATACATTGTCTCAAAACTTACAAGCGATTTCCTAATAAATGGAGGAGACGCGAATTGGTTACTAGGACTTCAGTACGCACCACAAAAAATTCGTAATTTGGCCACACTTAATGCTATACTAGCACATCAACCATGGCGTCTTCAAGCATCACATATCGGTGCATTGGTTAGAGTCTTACCAAATAATTGGACAATTTCCGAGATTGTGCATGTTATTATGATATTGAGTACCTTTCATAGTTTAAGCAGTTTTGTGTTGGGATGTGGAATTGTACCTGAATATGATAGTATTGGGGGTTATTATGATCTACCACCTTGGGCCTCCACTACTGTCGAAGATGGTTCTATTGGAATTATGGATTCTTCGGAATCAATTTCCCCGAATGTAGGATCCGGGTTGGGTATAACCGAAGAAGAGCAAACCGAAGTAGAGAAACCTAAAGATGATGATAGTGGGAATAGTGAGAAGACACCAGCCGAAAATTTTACAAAGGAACTAACTTCAGATGTGGAAATTCAGAGGCATACAGATCAGCTGATTAAGAGGTTAAAGAATAAACCCGATTTACATTTATCATCATCAACGTTGAGCAGTGAAATCGCTGAATTTGAGAATATCGAAGAGGAGAGTGAGTATCCTTTATATACACGCGCGATTTTTCAACAATTCACACGTCCTTTTATTTTTATTAATTTTTTTTTTCTTTCCTTTTAAAAAAAATTATTAGCATTTACAAATGAGTCTCCAACAAGTGACATAACTTTATCTCCATTCCTTCAAAATTTTTCCTCGACCGCTAACACCACTTCGCCCACTTTACTTCATTCGATATATAACTTGCCATCTACAAATTTATCCACTGAAGATTTTTCAAGATTTCTTGATCCATCCGTGGACACGCAATATGCTTACACAGACTTTGTTGTTAATAGTTCTGAATATAGCGTATTTAAATTACAAGATTATGGCTGGGATCATGGTGTGTCGATGGCGAATAGATATTTCTCAGGTGCCGGTGATGTGTTAGATGCAGAATTCGCTAAAGTTTGGGATATTACTGATTATTGGTATATATTTTCTTTTCGTAGATTTTTGAATAGGATGTATATAAAATTTGTTCCCTTTTCAATGTTCATTCTTTATTAACTTTTTGGCATATTTCGGCACATAAAGATTAACGATATCATTTTATTATAATAATTTATAGTTTATTTCATTCATACCAATCCTCAAATATTGATACAAGACCGTTACGACAAGCAATTTGGTTTTACGTACAAAGATTATCCGGATTACTAAAGGATGATTACGTATATCGTGACATCAACACATATCTTAGTAATAATTTCAAAACGTACCTCAAGAAGGTTAGTAAAAAAAAGGGTCACATTAATTAAATGATCTGTTGTTACATAATTTTAACGCGAGGGTTTTTTTCTCTCCTTTCCGTATAAAGGTTAGTTGTAAACCCGAAGATATTGAATATAGTGATTGGAAAACTGCAGGGTTTCAATTACGTGCCGAAGAAAAATGTCACGTGAATTTGATCGCTGCTGAATCGCGTAAACAAGCGGAATTAATTTATGGATTATCATGCGTTATGAAATGGTATGGGAAGCAAAGCGGAGATGAGTCAAGTGTTGAAGATGAACTTGCTAGTGAAACATAGAATGAAAGAATACAAATACAAATGTGAACGAATCGGACAGCTAAAAAAACATTTTAGATAGAAAAAAAAAAAAACATTTTGCCAAATTTCAAAAAAAAAAAAAAAAAAAAAAAAAAAAAATTCGCGATAAATTAACTCGAACTATTCGAATTATTCTTTTTTTTTTTTTTTTTCGCAAATTTTTTGCTTGCAAAAAAAAAAAGGAAAAAAAAAAAAAAGTAATTACGTTAAAAAAAAAAAATAATTTTTACGTCAAAAAAAAAATTTTTTTTTAGATTTTTAAAATACACAGAATTGGGCTTTATTATTCAAAAAAAAAAAAAAAAAATTTTTTTAAAAATAACCAAGGAAATGTACAAATCCAATGATAGAAAAAAAAATTTCCTTTTTCTCTTATATTTAAAAAAATGAAAAAAAAAAAAAAATTATATATATACCTTCCCAATAACATAAAAGTTTTTATCTATGCCATCAACCTTTTTATTCATTTGAGATAAAATAGATTTTCCTTGGTAATATAGTAGTAATATAGCAAAAAAAAACAAAAAAAAATCTTTTACGATTTATTTCGCAAATTTATTTTACTTGAAAAATTTTTAAGCATAAAAATCCTAAAGAAGTATAAAAAGCGGTAAATATACATTTAAAGACAAATTCATGTAACTTTTTAACAAAAAAAAAAAAAAAAAATAAATAAATAAATATAAAATCGTCTCGAATCGCATATATTAAAGATGTAATCTATAGGGGTAAAAATTTAGATGTTTATTCATTAACTCTTTTTGGTTATCCTTTATGAATCGTTTACTGGATTTGGGATGTGATGAAATTCTCTTGGCTCCCTGGGCATTTTTATTTGGAACACAAATAAAACTGCTTTTTTTGGTGTATATATATATAATCAATCAAATTCATCTTTCTACAAAACAAAATTTTATATTTACAAATCCAATATGCCTCCAGTTACTATTCTGAAACCTGAAGATAAAACATTAATAAAGAAAGCTCTTCCATCTAAAAAAGGGAATGTAAGGAGGGAGAGATTTTTTTATTTATTTATTTTTTCTTTTGGACTAGTGTGTTAAATTCAAACTAAATTATTTTAGAAAATCTTGAATGCAACGGTTGCCCGACTTTACGTAGCATATCCTGATGCAAATGCTTGGACGTATACCAAAATCATGGGAGCGGTAGCTCTTGTCAAGGATAATTCAAAGAATTCGTTCTTTTTTAAAATTGTTGATTTAATGGCAAGTTCAATTACCCATTACTTTAAAAGTTTTTCATCAGCATTTTTAATTAATATCATTCTAATGAATTTTAGGGAAATCGCGGTATTCTATGGGAACAAGAACTCTATAAAAATTTCCAATATACTGTTGAACTTCCATTCTTACATACTTTTGCCCTTGATGTAAGATTATTTTCCCTTTTGTCGATTATAAAAATATGATTTATTCAATATTTATCTTTCTATGATAGGATTATCTTGCTGCTTTCTCCTTTGCTGATGAACAAGATGCCAAAATCTTTCACAAAAAAGTTACAAATAGGGAAAAGATTTCTTCAAAGTGTACGTTGGTAACGTTGTTATAAATGTGATCTTTATCGTTTCATCATAAGAACGTTATCTTGATTAATTTAAATATACACAGCTAATAAGAAATCTCAAAAAGAAAATAAGAATAGTGGTGGCGGAATTTTTGGCATCGGCAGGTCTAAGAGTAAAATTGATAAATCAAAAATTAGTGGACCAACGGAATTTAGGTAAAGAACATCATTTTTTATTCGGTCGATATTGGATTAATTTCTTTTATTAATTTTTTTTTGATTTTCTCCCAATTCGTATTTAGACATCTTGGACACATTGGATATGATGAACAGAAAGGATTTGATGTAGGTTAAATCGGTGAAATTGAGTTATATGAGATGATATGTGAGAATTTTTTATTTATTTCATTTGTTATCTAGGTGCAAAACATTGACCCTGAATGGAAAGGGATTATCACTCAATTAGGAGAGTTGGGTATCAGCAGTGTAATTATGTGATTTCATTTAACCTTTTTTCTTATGTTTAAATAATAATATTCCTCAATAGTAATTTTGATTCTATTTAATGTTCCTTTTTAGGAAGAAATAGAAAAAAATGCCGATTTCATTAATGACTATCTTAAAAATAATAATCGTAAGCCAGCAAATCCTCCCGCTAGGAATGATCGTAAATCAATCAATCCCCCCGAACCACCAAGTAGACGTACTGCGCCACAACCACCTACCGCGCAATCACCCTCCAAAAACAAGAAACCACCACCACCACCACCTCGTAAATCTCATTTGGGGCCTACATCTCCAACTCGTGACTCGCTTCAACCATCATCTCCTACGAATGCAAAACAGCTTTCTATTTCTCCTCCGGTATCACCCAGAGTTTCTCCAAGAGTATCACCAATTCCTGCTTTTCCAACACTATCTCCGCCTGCCCCACCTACTCTTCCTTCACGTCCTCCTGCTCAACAACCTGTGGTCGCACCTCCACCCCCGCCACCACCTGTTCGTCCTCTTATTTCTAGTAATGCTCCGCCACCGATTCCACCTGCAAGAGTGACCAATTCCAGTATCGCACCTCCACCACTTCCACCAACTCGTAACACAAATGTAAATGTTGCACCAGTATCAGCACCAGCGCCTGCACTAGCACCACCACCGCCACCACCACCACCACCTTCAACTGGGGGAGAGGCACCACCACCACCACCTCCACCACCTCCTCCAACTTTGGGAACGGCACCGCCTCCACCTCCACCACCAATGCAATCAATTTCACGTGAATCTCCAAACGTACCTCAACAAGTTCCGCCAGCTGTAAATGGTAGAGCTAATTTAATGGAAGCTATTCGTAATAGGGGTGGGGTTAGTGGTGGTGGGTTGAGAAATGTAAGTAAAGATTACATACAACTTTTCTTTTAAAAAAAAAAAAAAAAAATTGTTTGGCTAATGTTAAAAATGCTTTGTAGGTTGGTGAACCTGTTCGTCAATCAACTATTACGGAAGACTCAAGCCCAAGCGGAAGTGATGATACAAATTTAGCGAAAACTTTAGCAGATGCATTAAAGAAACTTAATAAAGATATGGGAAGTGACGATTCCGGTAAGTCATCACGAATTTCACGGGAACATTTAATCTTGATAATTACTCATAATTTTAATTTACTTAAATTATTTTCAGATGACGATGATGATGATGAATGGGATACGGATTAAATTATATGGATTAATTTTTTCCATTAAATGGATTGTGATAATTTATTATTATTATTTGTAACTCTTGAATCACATTTTTTAGAATGACGAAATACGGATAAATAATTAGTTGATCGAAATAAATTTTTTTTTTTTTTTTCCTTTGGAATTCCAAAGAATTGCAATTGAGTAGTTTCAATGACATTTAAAATTTAAATTTGGTACATTATAAGCTTGAGTCCCAATTTGTCGCCGATGGGAAAAATAAAATGGGATGACTTCTAGGAAATTCAGGCTCCGTGAAATTATTTAACCCATTTTAGTAATTTTAGTAATTAATAAAAGTTTCTCAGGAACCCATTTCCAAAACCCAATGGATATGGGAATGATTTTGGAAATGATCAGCATATTTAACCTTAATTGAACGAATTAAATGACATAATTAAGTGATCGCAATGGGGTGATGAGTCGAAATTGTCTTATATGTTTGGCATGATGTAAGACATGACGTTTTATAAGAAAATCGTCATTGCCATGGGCTGATTTTTTTTAAACAAAAAACAAACTCAACGACCCAGTAATTATCTTGTATTTACATATAAAATGCGACAGTTTTCCCTTGGGTTGGAATAAAAATAATAAAAATTAAAAATATCATAAAATTTAATAAATAATCATGTCTAACAATACTGAAACTACAACCGCAACTTCTACTACTCAAGTATCAGAAAGCACTGTACCAGAAGATACCGTTCTTACAACTACACAAGATGCAGAATCTCAAGCACCAATTACTCGTGTTGTTGTTATTGCTATTGACCATTCAACTCATAGTCAACAAGCATTCTATTGGGCGCTAAAGAACTTCTTACGAAAAGAAAACGATTTGGTAAAAATACAAATTTTGAATTGTCTCCTGAGGCTTTTTTATGAAAAATGAATTAAAAAAAAAAACCGAAATTTCTTTATATAGGTTGTGTTGGTCAATGTTCGATCGATTCCGACAGTTCCTGGTCCATATGGTAAGTTTCCGAGTCCTTATGGTCGTCTTTATGGTCTTAATAATTTGAAATCTAATTTTTTTTTTACCTTATAAAATTTTCTAAGCAGCAATTGGCGCTAGTTACATGGATTTCAGTGAAGTTGTGACAAGTTTGGAAGAACAGGTGATTTTCAAATTAGATCTTTCCAGAAGTATATATCGTGTAACTAATTTGTTTTTTTTTCCCCCATTGGGCTTTTTAGCATCGACTTAGTAGCCATTCATTATTACAAGACTTTGCTTCGAAATTAAAGGCTCAAAATGTTCGTCTCTTTTGAATTTGTGATGATGAAACTTTTTTTTGACATTTTCGAAATTTTTAATATATATATAAATATTTTTAGTTCGCGTGCAAAGCTATAGCGATGAAAGGTGACGCACGTGATGAAATTGTTCGAAAAGTGGCCGAGCTCAACGCTGACGCATTGGTGATCGGGTCACGTGGTTTAGGAGCATTAAAACGGTATTTAAATTTTTTTTTTCTTTTTTAAAAAAAAAAGGTTAATTAAGGAATAATCAACACGTTTTGTTCCTTCATTTTTTCATTTCTTTTTATAGCACACTTTTAGGTTCAGTAAGCGATTATTGTAGTCATAATTGTCATTGTACTGTAATCATCGTCAAGGAACGAGTTGAACAAAAACAGTAACCTCCGCGTCCTTTGCGAAAATGAAAGCAATATCTATTTTTTTTTTTTTTTTGTATTTAAAAAGTCATCATATCAATTGCTTTTAATTCTTGCAGATGTAAATTTATATTAATACATAATTTGTTTTAAAATATCTTGTGATAAATAAAATATTATTAAATATTTAAAATTTACAATTTAAAAATTTGCTATTATTACTATCGGAATATAATTTTTCCGGTTATAAAAAATAGAATCATGTTATTATTGTACTTTAGGTATAACGCATTTATCGTTTCTTAGGTATGATATTTTATCGTGCCTAAGGTACGATAGTATTATCGTTCCTAAGGAACGATGGTTTTATAATTCCTTAGGTACGATGCATTTATCGTGCCTAAGGAACGATGTTACCATCATCCCTTAGGTACAATGCATTTATCGTTCTTTAAGTAATCATTGTTCTGAATCAATACTTTAAGCTGTCGCTAGTAACATATTGAATCTATGATCATATTCAGCCTCGAGACTTAATATTAAATGTTATTGAAATCTATGATTAAATAATCATAAATTTACTCATCGACTTAATTATTCCTTTCCAAGAGCAGTGCAAATGATTTTTCCATTAGGATAAAAGAAGTTATATAGCCATTTTGCTCATATACGACAAAATTCGAGCAAATTCACCTGCGGTATAGCGACTCGTCCAGGAGTTATTCCCTTATAAAATCCTCGACAAAAGCGTTAGATACTTTTTCTATAAAGTAATAGAATGTCACGATATTTACGATTTTTTTTTGTTGGCTAGCAGATTCAGTCATTGTTTTTTTTTAAATTTTATCAAATTCTTCCTATGAAATTCCTTGGAAATAGTACATTTGTTAATTTTATTTTTATAAAGAAAAAAAAAAAGTTGGAAACTAAATTCAATTCTATTATATTTCTTACTCGGTTAAACACTTCATTCATTACTTTGTGTGATAAAATTTAAAAATACCGATCGCGTCTGATGTCACCTCACAAAATTGGTTTGATAATCATTGCCGCAACTTAATTTCAGCATTCGAGAATGGACACGTGATTATTATCGAAAACAAAAGGCCCACAAGAAGTGGAAGATTCTAATGGATATTCCTAATTATTTTTTATATTTTGCATTTGTATCAGTTAAGAACTTGAAACACGCAGGATCGTGAATGTAATTCCGGGGAGCTACTATTCTGGTGATACATACATGTGCCCAAGTTTGAATATTGTGAATTTGAAGGTTTGTTAGTCATATATGTAAAGATATAGGATGACCTGAATAAAAATTGGCGATTTTTCTCTGTGTCCCTCATCCTCAGCAAAAAATGGATCATTAAAATCTTTTACTTCTCCTCTGAGTCTTCACCGCTAATGATCCCATATCAGTTCATGAATTACCTAACGAATTGTTCGAGGTAATTTAAGCTTTTGTTTCATTCTACATAAAATTTGTTCACTTATATCCAATCTCCTAGAAATGAAGAATTTGATTTATCAAGTAGGGATTGTGCAGTCGTTGCGATAGTTGTGAAGTGATCTGTCCTAAAGTTCGGGTTTAAAGTACATTCGAATCCGAATTTTTATGAAAATGGATGTACTCGTACTGTATAAAAAACAAATAAAATTATGGAAAATGAAATCCATTCACTTAAATTAAATTTTTATATACATCAACACAACCATCATAACTGTCACAATTGTAACAACAACTACAACAACCATTTTTAACAAGTTTATTAAATATGAAAAAAAAAAAAAAATTACAGAAAAGAATCAATAATAATCAAAATCCTGTTGTTACTGTATCTTCTTTCTGACCGATAACACGAGAAACAAATTTTTAAAATTTTCAAAAATTATTTACAAAGGGCTCTTTTAAATTTTTATTCCTATTTAACTGAAAGAGATACAACAAGTGTTGCTTGGAGCATTGTTAGAACAAGGTTTGGGACATTGAAACTTAATGTGAGACAGTTTCACAATGCTAGGACAGAAAAAAGTATATTATAAAGTTATACTTTTTTTGAAATTAAAATCATGAATAAACGAATTTTAGCTAAATTCCCCATAAAAGTAATTTTAAAGTACTGTATTAGCTTTTTTGTTAATATTAAAATTGAAATAAGTAATTATAGCACTTAATAAATATTTCTAACACCATTTCTAATAAAAACTTTTGATAATAATTTATATTAATGAGAAAGAAGAGATCAATTTTATTTATAGTTAAAAAAAAAAATAGATATTACTCAAAGTATGTGTGCTTGCACTTAATAAACATAAACTCTTAAAATAAAATACTTCAGAATATATGCATTTGTATTTGAAGGATTCTTATAAAAAAATAAACAAAAATAAAATGCTTAGGAAGTTATTGTATTTGATAAGTTATTTTATTATCAATAGTTACAAGAACTATTATTTTATATAATTGAAATTTCAGACTATTTATAATAAGCTTATTTTTAATCTATTATAAAAGAATTATGTAATAATTATTTCTTCTATCTGTAATATTCACGTCATAAATGAAGTAATTACTATCTTATTATTATATAATATTCCTAATATTCCTTTAATTATAACTAAATATATATATTTTAAATATTCCAATTAATATTATATTATTCTCATATAACTAATACATTTTTATACTCTAATTTCCTTCTTTAATTCTCTTTTTAGTGTTTTTAATTTAAATTCATTATATGTATCATTATAGTTACTAATAATATTAATTATCTTTATTAATTAATTTATATAACTCTGTCCAAATATTTCATAAAAGACCTTTTTCACTTTATTGATTTTCATAATATTCAACTCCTCTTACATTTTCAAAAATATCATTTAATAAATATTAATTGGATATAGAGCTCTGAATAGGTCAGTTCAGGTCAGGTCAATCAAATTACCTAAACTGAGATGATCAGGTCAGGCCAAACAAAAATCTGACCTGATTTAAATTTTCATTTGACCTAACCTGACCTAACCTGACCTGATCAAATTATAAAACATTATTTTTGAATGATAAAACCATTATTCTTAAATAATAAACCATCATTTTTGAATGATAAACTCATTATTCTTAAATGATAAACTCATCATTCTTAAATGATAAAATCATCATTTAAGAACGATAACAAATCATTTTAATTGAATAATAAAACATCGTTCTCAAATGATAAAATTATCATTCTAATTGAACAATAAAATATCATTCTTGAATGATAAAACTATCATTCTTGAACGATAAAATTATTATTTTTGAACAATAAAACATTGTTATAGGAAGATATTGATCCAAAAGATCATGTGACATATGTGACTAAAAGGCATACTGACTGCGTCACGTTAGATAACGAAGACAGTGAAGATGAGAGAAATGAATTAAATAAAGGTTATGTGAAAAACCCAGAAGTCGCCAGAAATTTCTATTATATTATTAATCATTTTGTATTATTAATCATTTATTATTTATAATCAATTAGTATTTATTTATTTATATTAGCAAATTTAGTATAAATAGGATAGCTTTAGGACTTGGTTAAGAAGAACAATATTAGGTAGCAATAGACAATAGTAGATAATAAAAAATAATAATTTGTAAATATTTAGAATTCAATTAGTTTTTATCACCAACAAGATAAATACTAATAATAGTTATATGCTAACAAATATAATTGTATCGAATTCTTTATTCTTTAATAAAATCCTTAAAGTCTATTCTAAACATACATTATTATTTAAGTAATAATTATTTGTAAACCCTTCAGAGCTCTCTCTAAAGTATCAAATAAAAGCTAAATCCCTTTGTTAATTTTGCATTAATATTAATTTTCAGTCGTTAGTATCGTAAAATAACAATTTGGTATGGGTTGGGTGGACTAAAAACCAATCTGACAAATTAAACGTATGCGAAGGACACTTAGACAATTAACAGTAGCTGTAAGACCTATTTTTCTTCAACTTCAGCTGCGGGTCGCTGAAATTCAATTTCAGTATAAATCATTAAAAAATGAAAAAGTTATTTCAATCAATCATCTTAAACGTTTATAAAGCAACATCAATGATCTAAAACATTTTATTGAATTTCATAAGATTAAGGCTACGTAAGACAAATTAGTATTTAGTGATGACTATTTTGACAACGAATCTCAATAAATCTGGAGGAATATAGCACTGACCATATTATTGAAGAATAATACCTATTAACCGTCTGACAATACATAACTGCTCATAAGGAACTTAAGGATCATAAAATCTCATTATTACCCATTTAGATCAATCCTGCCTACAGTGTCACTCAGACTACGAAACTCAATCAGGAAAACTACTATCTTTTGATAATTTTTAGTTTCTGTGTATTGTACTTAAATATAACGCTGTATTATACACTACCTTTACTATAGTATATTTTATAAGGACCCAAAAGAGTGAGGCTTGTTTTTTGAAAAGAGATCGCTTATTGAAATATTTGTTGAAAAAAATTGTTACTACAATTAGATATAAGAACAATATACTAAAGAAATCCTTTGATAGCATCGCTGATAAATTATATCAAATTTGGGTAAAAAATAAAACAGTTTCAATCATGAAAAATTGAAAGTGTTAGCAGTACTGACTTAATTATAAATAGCAATTGTAGTGATACCTCAGAAAATATGGAAAAAGATCAAAATGATACTATCATAGCACCTTTTCAGAGAAGTAATAAAAGCTCCCTAAGGATGACACTGCCAGTAGCGATGAATGGACCACCATCAGGAACTACCACATCTATACCTAAACCACCATCTAATATACTATCTTATGTACAATTACGACAACTATACCTAGGAGATAGGAGGCAATATGACGAAGAAAATAATGACACATATGTCCCTGATTATTAACAAAATATCCTATTTAGATATGTCAATGATGATGACGAAACATTACAGAAAATGTCTTTCTTTGACAATGCAAATGAACTAGAGAGAGGAGAAACCCTAAGTAGAATACTTTAAAGAGTTACATTTAATACAAGTAATGATAGAAGATCTCTATCCCCTGTTAGGGTAGAAAATGTTCAACAATTAGTAGTCTCAATATTATCTAGTAATCAATCATCAAGGCCATCAAATTTAAGAGTAATGACTCTATCAGTAGGAAATACAAATAGTTGATCATCATTAGGAAATCCTTACAATTTTTCTCAAGCAACTCAATATAGTCATATATTTGACCCTTTGACGCAAATTGGCAACCAGTAAATAACCATTAGCTTGGAAGTAACTCAAGTAGCAGAGGAAATAATACAATGGAATATCAAAATGTAACTACCAAAAAAACCTCACAGCCAACAACGGTAGCCTAACCATATAATATGCGATCACCATCGAACTCCTAGAGGAGTAGTTCTCAATCAATTAGCACAATAACTTCTCAGTCAGTACCTAGTAGTTAACCGTCAAATAATATAAATACCTTTCAGCTAATACTCACATCTCAACTAATTATAGTACCAGTAGGAGGAAACAATGATAATGCTTACCTTCAAGTCATACAAGGACTAGCAGGATGGCTTCAAGGACAACAAACGAGAAAACAACAATTGGTAGATTTGCCAATATTTAGAAGAAGAAATCAGGATCCAGTAGAGTAGCTCAAGGCTTTCAAATGAGCTTGTAAAGCAAACTGTATCAATACCACTCAAATGGTTAAAATAATCACCAGTTATTTAATAGGAACAGCACTAACATGGTTTCAATGACAATATGTTACCAACTAAAATAGTAGGATCAATCCTGATACTTCCTTCGTACCATTATTTGAACAACATTTCTGCAATGCATTTCGACAAAATCAATGAAAGCATCAGCTTAGGCATAAAAAGCAGAAACCAGATGAAATAATTGAGAAATATGCAGCAGCAATAGGAGAATTATAGAAGCGAGTTAACTCACAGTATAGGTGAGCTGAAATGGATAGAGTTGCTAAATTTATTGAAGGGCTGCGACCAGAATTTATGGTACCAATGCAAACAGTAATGCCAACAATAGTAGATCAAGCAATTGAAAAGGCCAGAGCAGTAGAATCTGCATATTCTATTGAAATGGAACTATCTGCCTATTCGTTAATGCCTAATTACATGCAATTATTACAAGAAGAAATGGTACCAGCTTACACAAGTATAACAATGCAACCTACATATAATACACAGCAGCCAGATATTAAGGACACTATTAATTGTAAACTAAGTGAAGGGTTATAAGCAATTATAGCAAACATTGGGCAACAACAACAACAACAATAATAGCAGCAGCAACAGCCACAATAATGATCACGTGAATGTTTTAATTGTGAAAATTTTGGACACTTGTTTAGAGATTGTAGAAGTAATTGACGTATGAATAATGACCAATCAAATATTGAATGCTTTAATTGTGGGAAGTATAGTCATTTTATCAGGGATTGCAGAAGTACAAACAATAATAGAGGTCAAAACTTCCAAAATCATAATGATAACAATAGAAATCATAACTGCAATAATAGCAGGAATAGGAATTATAAAAATAATAATAATAATAATAACTACAATAATAACAGTAATAATAATAATAATAACCAACAGCATTTAAACTAGAAGTCGCACCTCTTAGAGGTGAGTGTGCGAATAAACCAAAGCCTTTAAAAGTAAAAGAAGAGGAAGAAGCAAAAGAGAATAGTCAAGGTAAAGCAAAAATAAAAGCAAGTTTAATAGAAGTACTTTATGAATATAGAGGAATGAATTCAAAAATGCGATTCAGAGGACTATATAAAAACAAATATGATCACTCCAGTTGTAAAGAATATAACCACCACAGTCATATTATATGTACAAATTGTAATAAGATCACTAAAGGAATAGTAGCACAATGCAAATGTAAGAAAGTAAAATGGAATCCACTAACTGATGAAAGGATTTTCAGTAAAAATCAGCCAATTAAACCAATAAATCTCCAACAACAAGGAGAAGTCACTGTTAAAAAGAGGCCGAAGTATGTGTTAGGAATCTTATATGATGATAAAGGAATCTATCTTTCAAAATGAATTAACCTAAATAAGAAAATGTATAACTTATGGCAAACAGTCAGTAGAAAAGTTGAACTAGAGGAATCATCGATAAGGACTATGATTTGAGAAATTGATGAAGAAACTGGAATACAATTGGATGAAGATCGCTTGAAATACATTTTAAATGATCTTACATATAATTGTAACATATATAAAGTAAAGCTAAACAAAGAAATACCTCAATATACTAAACCTATCAAACATAGCGATTGGCAACATTTTGAGTTTGATGAATATTTACAAATGGCTGGTCTAAATAAACTAACACCAACGCATAATAAATATGGAGAACTTTTTATATCTAAATTAAAGGAATACATTATTACTAGTAATACAGCATGTGATAAACCTATCAAAGATGTATTGTTTATTGAAACCCAAGTGGAAGGATACCTTGTAAATGCTCTAGTAGATACTGGATTTGTAGGAAGTATCGTTACTTAGTGGTATCTTAGGCAAATCAATAAGGAAATTGATGAACCTGCAAAAACAAAAATCATGGGAGTGGATGGAAAAACTATGATGCCTTTAGGAATAATTAAAGGAGTTACAGTAGAAGTTAATAGAATAACTGTTAACAAAGATATGCTAGTAACTAATGCTATAGGATATAATATTATCTTAGGAAACATCTGGTTGCAAAAAGTTCGTGCAATCATTGACTATGATACTGGCATTCTAGTCGTATAACAAGAAGATCAAACTTCTATGCCGCTTATAACTTGCACGTAGAACATACATCCAGGAAGGTTTACACTAATCAAGCCTAAAATAACAGTAGATGAATTAGAATTTGAAAAGGAGGAAGATATCGATATTCAACAATGTTTTGCTATTATTTCCAAAGAAAAAGAGGAAGTAATCCAAATAAATAGAAAGGAATACCTTGAAATATATTTACAACAATTTGAATACGAAATAGATATACAACAAAATAGAAATTGGACAGGATCGACTACATGTTGGTGTTTAAAAAATTTAGGAAATGAAGACCAATGTGATGACTGTATAGAAATAGTAAGGATAGTACAAACTTATCAATATTATAGGAATAGTATAGATTTACAAGCTGCCTATAAAGTTCAGATCAAAGAGAATGATATTCAAGTAGAAATTGGTAATGATTCAGGAAAATATACAATCTGTGAAAAATTAACAGATGCTTCTTTAAAACAACTAAAAGCATTTCTTGAGAAAAATTTTAATAGTTTTGCAATCACAACACAGGAATTAACGTATTTAGTGCAATATAAATATTGTATATTTACTAAAACCATATCGAATGTCAGTAAAAGATGATCAGTATATTCAACAGGAAATTTAAAATATGTTAGATCAAGAAATTATACAACCTTCTCAAAGTAATGGAGCTCACCCGTAGTTCTTGTAAGAAAAAAGAATAGAAAAATGAGATTCTGCGTAGACTATAGGAAATTAAATGATATAATAATAAAGGACCAATATCCCTTACCAAGGATTGATAAGTTATTAGAATCTTTGGGAGGAACAACATGGTGTGATATACTACCTTAGACTTAGCTTCAGAATACTGGTAGTTTAAGGTCAGGAAACAGGACAAACCCAAAATGGCATTTATTATAAAACATGGGTTATATGAATTCAATGTAATGCTATTTAGATTGTGCAATGCATCAGTCACCTTTCAACGAGCTATGGATAATATATTACGAAAAATAAAAGAAAAATTCATATTAGTATACCTTGATGATATCATCATATTTTTCAAAAGTTATGACGAATATTTACAACATTTCCAACAGGTTTTCAATTTATTAAAAGAAGCTCAATTGAAAATAAATCCAGAAAAATGCCATTTCTGCATAAACAAAATTCAATTTTTGGGACATGTAATATCAAGATAAGGGATACAACCTGATCCAGCAAAAATTGAAAAGATCATCAACCTCAACGCTCCATTCAATGTTAAACAATTACGAACTGTATTAGGATTATTCTTTTATTACCGACGTTTTGTTAAAAATTATTCTAAATTGGTAGCCCATTGAATGATTTGCTGAAAAAGGATGTGCCTTACAATTGAACAAAACAACATCAAGAGATTTTTGAAATATTTAAGGAAAAATTGACGACTGCACTAATCTTATCCTATCCTGATTTCAATCAATCTTTTATTTTGAGTATTGATGCAAGTACTACAGAACTAGATGCAGTACTTTTACAAAATGACAATGAAGAAAAAGAACATCCTATTTGGTATACAAGCAGAACATTGAGCCCAGTTGAAAAAAATTATCATATTACTGAACAAGGGGCTTTAGCAGTAGTATAGGCAGTTAAATATTTTAGGAGGTACTTAAAGGATAATACATTTATTATATATACTGATCACTCAGCATTGCAGTGGTTATTGAATCAACCCACTAAAGAAAAGGATAGTAAAAGGATTATTCGTTAGAAGATTCTATTATAACAATTTCAATTTAAAATTAAAATATCGCAAAGGAAAGGTAAACGCGAACGCTGATATTCTCTCAAGGATTGATGAATTACAGGCACCAAACACATCACAAACCTTAACATCAATAATAGATCATGGATAAGCAACAATATCAAAACATAATTCAATACCTTGCCAACTTTACTTATCCAGAAAATTGTGATACTTCTCAACGGAAACAAATTTAACAATTATCAACCCACTACATTGTTAAAAATTCACAATTGTACAAATCAACCAAGAAAGGATTAAAAAGAGTGATTATACAAGAACAAGTGGAAGTACTCTTATTTAATTTATACAAAGATATGTCAGGAGCCTATCTAGGAATTGAAGCAGTATACAATAAGACCAAAGAATGACATTATTGACCACAAATGTTCGAGGATATTAGAGAATATGTGAAAAATTGTGACAACTGCTAACGAAGAGGACCAAGTATCAGAAAAGAACTATTACATCTTATTTTATTTAAAGTACCTTTTCATCAAGTAGGATTAGATATAAAAGGACCATTACCTATTACAAAAACAGGGAATAGGTACATAATAGTTGCAATGGACTACTTTACAAAATGGCCAGAAGCTAAAGCTATTAAGGATATCAAGGCTGATATAGTAGCAAAATTTCTATATGAAGAAGTAATATGCTGACATGGTACACCTGAGGAAATACTCATAGATCGAGAAACATCATTCATGAATCAGGTAATAGCACAATTATGTCAAAAGTTTCAAATGAATCATCGATTGACATCACTATACTGATCTCAAACAAATAGAATGGTAGAAAGATTTAATTGAACTATAGGAGAGTGTTTAGCCAAATTAGTATACAATCAAGAAAATAAATAGGATACTTATGTTTCTTTAGTATTATTCACTTACCGAACAATAAAATATAAAAGTACAGGTTACACTCCATTTTACCTTATGTATAGATAACAAGCAATGTTACCAATAGATTTACAATTAAATTCTGTTGAAACAGATGAGCAAAATATTAATGATGCTCTGATGAATAGATCAACAAATTTAATTAACAAATTAGAACAAGATAAATAGGATGCA